GTCTATACCTTGGAACAGACTTGTGAAGAAGATAGATGGGTAGAGGGTGCCTGATAAACAATTGCTCAGGCCAACAGCACTTCTGCCTTGGCTGTTAAGGGTACCCATGGTATGATTCCTCAAAACTGTGTTTGTCTCTGCCTGATTCAGAAGTGGAGTCTCTTCTTATTATTTATTGCTGGTAGCAAATGGCAATGAAAAAAATCCATAGTGATTGCGCTAGAGAAGACTAAAAGGATAAAAATACTTGTAGAAAGAGTAAAAATTATGGAAAATTAATGGAACAGAATGAGTGGTGCTGGTTTTTGTTACCTGTCCTTCCTCATTCTGTCAGGACTGAGTAAATTATGCCAAGTAGAATCTTGCAGAATTTTGCAATAAATTGCCTGAATTTATCCATACTCCCTGCTTTGTGAGGAAGGGAGGCCACTTCAGAGGCTGTGGCTACTGCACTTGGAGTACCTTGTGATTTTAGGCATATTTCCTGAAAACAGAACTCATCTTTCAGGGATCTCCTGAGTCACTTTGAAAAACTCAGGAACAGGTGAACTCCAAAGCTTTTGATTGTGGTGGTAGAAGGCTCAAAGACTGCATTTCACCTTTTTCTGTGTGTGGGGCAGGAGTGAAACTGCAGAGCACTGAGCAAAGATACTTCTGTTATCCCGTGTCTTGCTTTCCCTTCATGGTTTGTTTCAGGTTTTTCTTTCTTTTTAAGAAGTGTCTCTTCCCTCCCTGCTCCTTGCCCCAGGCTGCAGCCCTTAAAGCAACTGGGATGCAACAGCAGAGAGGCAATAGTTGTTTGTTTACATCTCACTTATGAAAAATACTAGGTTTCTGTTGAACAATGTCCTTTGTCCTGACACAGCTGTTCTCACCACACTCTCTCGTTACTCACTGGGCACCTCCAGACACGATTTTATTCAGAAAACCTGAAGATGTGCTGTGAACACCAAATCTCATGTCTATATCCATCAGAACTGTTCCTAGTGACAGATGTGTTCTGAAACAAAAAATGTGTATGTAGTAAAAAGTGAGCTTTTCTGTGCACAAGTTACTCAGCATTCAGGTTTTTGGCTGTTTCTTTCCAAGACACCAAACATTTCTTTTACATTTAGAGAGTCAACAGAACAGGAAACTAACATGTAGAGGAGGCAAAAAATCCTTAATTTTACAGTTAGACTTTTTTTTATTTCAATCAATAGTTTAACAAGTGCTTAAACTTCCCCAGCAGTTTAATCTGGAACATAGTTGAGAAGAAAAATATCTTCTATAACTTTACAAAAATAAAAAGATTTTTTTTTTCTTTTAAAATCCTGCACTTTAGGCAAGCATGCTCCAACTCAAGCAAGACTGACATTATATCTTAAAATACAGACTTCTGTTCATAGAAATGACATTCTACCCCAGGACAGCAGGCACAAAAAGTAAATGGTATAGAAACAGAGCAAGAACACTTGTTTTGACTTTTCTGATCCCTTTTGTCCTATTTCTTGAATAGAGCCTCTTAAAACAATTTGCCTAAGAATTTCTTTAGGTTGCCATTTCTTCTGTCAGGTGGATCCTTGAGTAGGATATTACTGAGGGAAAAGCTTTCACCTGTCTTGGCAACATTGGCAACAGCTGAAGATACCAACATTATTGGATTAATTTTTTTTTTAAACCTTCTGCATTTCAGCAAGGGAGAAATCACCCAGCTTGCAGGTCCTCTACTGCTAAACCACTTGCAGCTTAACCTCTTCAGCAGCCAGGGCTGCCAGCACATGAGGTCAGGTTGGAGAAATAAAATGAATGGAATATATTGTGTCACATATATATGTGGTGCTGTGCAGCAGTTAATTTAGTGAGTGATGAAACCAAAAGAGGGGGTAAGCTTAGCTCCTCGTTCTGTGCCTGCAAGCAAGGAGAAGCCTCACAGAAAATACAGACCAGCACATAAACTATGCACTCTGAAGACTTACATCTTTGTCCAACTTGACAAAGATGTTGGCTAAAAGAAAAATTAAAAATATACAGGCACATGGAGGTAAGCTGGTGCAGCAAATGCTAAGAACCCAGATCATACAATTGTTTCTGTCAACACTACAAATAAACTACAGAAGTCCGCAATCAGATTTCATGTAATGCATTGTGAAGACCTTTTAAAAATACTTCCTTTTTAAGTGTCTTTAAATAACAGGGGGAAAAAAAACATTTATTGTACAATTTGTACAGTGAGTTACATTTTCATGTAGTCTAACCATAAACCTTTTAAAACCTAGACCTTTGCAAGTCTGTGATTCAAAACAGTTGACACGTGAATGTGCTTTTGGAGGTTATAACCGGACAGATCTTTTTCTTGAAACTGTTGCAACATTTTTGCCATTAGACAATTTACAGAGGAGCCACAAGGCACTAACAAACTGTAGATGACTGCTCTGATAAGTATAGAAAATCATGCTGTGGAACAGCTCCTTTGGTCTTTACTTTCCTCCTGCATCACAAGCATGTGCAGATTTCAGCTGGGATCAAGTGTGTGTGGCACTTGCACAGGCAAGTGACATAGTCAGACAACTTCTAACCATGAATATTTTTTCAGAGATAGGACCACATGGGAATGGTCAATGGTGGTAAAAGCAGCTTGTCTTGTGTGATCTAAGGAATGCCACACAGTACCCATCCTTTTAAATAAAAACTAGTGTGAATTCACTCCTGGTGCTAGATCTCAAATAGAAGTCAGAAATGCAGCCGGTACTTAGGGGACTTGTTTGTAACAGCTCAGTAGCCCAGTTAGAGATATGCTGGTGGCACTCTGCTGACTACAAAACTCAATCTAGAGAAAACCAAACTCCATGCTGGTTCATAACTACTCTGTCAGAGGTATCCTGTCCCCTTCTTGAACCTCTAGTTAAAACTGTGCCCCCCACCAGCAACTGATCCAGAGCTGGCTCTTCAAGTTTGACTGCATGGAGCAAAAAACACATCAAGAAATGGTGATCAGAACAGCTGTTCATCGGGCTCAATTCACCATGGTGAATTGAGCTGGCTTTCAGATCCTTCCAACAGGCTGAAGGAGGACCTGACATCAAATGGATGGATAAACACTTTGTCTGGTGATTACTGAGCCAACCAGAGCTCCATTCCTGACTCTTAAGTAACAGTTTCCTGTGAGTTTTCATTTGTCTGAGGGAAAAATATGAAAGATGTGGTCTGACTCAGCAGCGCATCTATCCATGATACTGCTCCTTCCCTCTGTCTTCCTGCTGTCTCAAAACTAGGTGAACTGATTCTGTTCCAAGTCTGTGGAAATTCACATCCATGTTTTCAAGGAATGCTTTTGCTATAGTAGTCAGTATGAAGACTCACTATGTAAAGTTGAAAGACTTTCATTCAAAACATGCTTTCCCTAGGATACTGAAAATAATACATTAAAGGTTCTTTTTCTGACACAGTACTGGGCTGGGCAGCTACCAGCTGCTTCTGCTGTGAAGAAACACTACAACTTTTTTCCTTATGTTTCCTACAGATGTTTCTGCTCTTCCTGTGAGCCAAAATGTGTACATCAGTAAGAGCCACGGACCAAACACAAGATTAAGCTACGTTCTCAGTTCATTCCCCATTAAAGCAGGGGAATGTGGTTCATCTATGAACTTCCAACCCCTTGCTGCCTTAAACATCTCCCCTACTGCTTCCAGAGTCAGCTCTGATGTGCATCAGTGCACAAAAGGATGTATTTGCCACTGAGGGAAACCTGAGAGTTTCCAGGGCAGGCTCTAGTTGACAAGTGCTCTCTGAGGGCTGTGTCTATCCACCTTCCCAGCAGTGTCTCCCCATACCAATGCTGATTTGAGCTCTATGAAACCATGGCATGTGTTGGGACACTTCAGCAAGGAGAAAAGGAAGGACGTGCTTGCCTTAGTGCATCTCTTGCTCCTCCCTCTCTAAGACTGGCCCGGTGTTCCTCCATCTGAGGGTGTGTTTCCAGCTGCTTTCTTGTTTTACCAGGAACCACAGCGTGTTTGCTGCTGTAACCCTTTTCTCTGTTCTTACACAAGGTCAGATGACTAAAAAGATGCTGCTAAATAGGGCTGCAGAACACATTAGATCCCATTTGCTTTACTCTGCCCACCCAGCTGACCCAAGTACTGCACATGGAGTATGTAAGGCCTCAGGAATATGGGAAGAGAAGTCTTTCCTGCAGCCTTGTATTGGCAGCTTACCTGCACTCTGTGCATCTGACAGGAAAATTGCTGCTGCTGGCTGGCTTTGAGGGGGCTTCGTTGTAGCTACTCTCTAGATACAAAGGGAGGCCTCGAAGCAATTACACAGCTAAGTTAATTGAATGAGAAAATACTAAACCACTGGTTATTTTTACAACTTAATGATTGTAAAAATAGCTTAAATTACTTGGAGTATTTTTTTTAAATTAGGGGTACCAACCATTTAGCACTTTTTGAACAGAGGGCTGTTATTTGCTGATTCTTTCTGTATTATGAGCTGTGAGATAATGGCAAGATAAATCTTTGTGGGTTTCCTCCTTATATACATATCTACATCAGAGCTGTGAAGTCAGAGGGAAGCTGCTATCACAGTACTGGCACAACACCGAGCCCTTCCCCAGAGCTAAATTCTGATGAGAAATCAGGCACTGGGGAGAAGAGTACCACAACAGTAAGATGGCAGAGATGACTGAAGCAGGATCATAGAGTTCATCCCAGCAGTTAAAAAAAAAAAAATAAAAGGAGACCCCTTCCCCCCCCCCAGAAGTCTGCAGTCCTAAAGTGCAATTACTTTTGTGCAGTCGTGTCAGGCCAGGGATCAGACTGGATGAAGTTCAAAGCACAAACATCAAACGAGTGCCGTTCGGGATTCGAGGAGGAAGAGGGAAGTAAGGAAAAGAACAACAGTTCTCAGGCATTCAAGTGCATCAAGAAAATAAATGTCCTTTTCTGTCTGAAGAAAAACAACCCTCAGTCTGGTGGAATCCTGGCTCTGTAGTAATGAAAAATAAGTTTTCCTCACTTCTAGCTGAGAATATCCCAGTATGACACAGTACAAATAAACAACAGAGCAAGAGCTGCGGTGCTGGGATATTTTTCCGGTGCCCTGCTGCTGTACAGCCTGATTTTACTTTCCTCATGTGACTCTTCAGGTCTGGGTACTGATGAGACACACTGAATTAAAGGCATCTGGTAGGAAGTGGCTCTCTTCTCGGGTCGGTCGGGGCTGGAGCCATCGCTGGGTCTCTGGCCATTGTAGAGCAGGTACCTGCCCCAGGCATCCTGCTCCATCTTGAAGATTTCGTACTCGGTGTGAGGTAGGCGGATGCCGAGCGCGATGCAGCCGTTGGTGTGGGTGACGTCCTGCTGAACCCCAACCTGCCAGGATCCCTGTGCTCCACACTCGTTCCCGTTGAAGACATTGAGCAGCGAGGCTGTGGATATATCCATGGGAGTGACCTTCATGTGATTCACTGCGAGAGAGAAAGAGGGGAGCTGTTAGCAGGGGGACAAAAACAAAAGCAAAGCCAATGTGCAGATTGGGGCACACCTGTTAAATCAAAATTGTCTCCCCTTGTTCCTTCTTAAGTTAGTTTTTCACATTACAGGTGTGGCAGCAAATCTAGGAGCATCATTTTGTCTTTGTCTGTGCAAAAATTGCTTTTTGTAAAGAACAACCCCCCTCCAACTCAGTTGAAGAAAACCTGATGGCCACGTATCTCAGCCAGAGATTAAGCAGAGCTTTTCATAAATTCCAGACAATCCTTCACAGATAAAGCCTGGTTGGTTATACTAGGAGATAAGGAAAAGAGGAAACAATAAAACTTTTCTCATGTTTTATTACTGTCTGTATTAATTCGTAAGTGGCGCATTTATCACATATTTTTCATCATTTCTTAACATTTGCTAGCTACCCTGTAAACCTAATAAAATAATTAGTTCCCACTGGGAAATCTGTAAAACAATACAGTTGCACTATCATCCTACATTACCTGTCCTTTTTTGCATGATTTATAAAATATAGATGACCTACAGAAAGATGTTTTTTCTCATCTCTCAACATTGGCTGCAGCTTGCAGTATCAAATGTAGAACTGCTGCAGTTTCTTTAGTTCTAACCTGCTTGTATTTCAAAGGAGTTTAAGGCATATAAAGTTTCATTTTCTAGCCAAGTTAAAGAAGTTGAGAAAAGCCAAAATGAATGAGCCTGCAGAAGCTGAATAGAGATTTTTCCTGGTATGTGTTTGACATTGTATATCAAGAAAAAGGGATCTGAATGGATTGGTGCTGACCAAAACAGAAGCAAATAACCATCCCTCATGCCTCCCAACATACCAAAATCCCAAATTCTCTTGCAGATCATTTTATAGTAAGATTTGTTGTGAGCTTTTCCTGAGCTTTTATAAACAGCCATTTGACTCAATGGCTCTACAATTCACATTATTTACTCTAGCTGGAGTAAAAGGTAATTTATAGATATTGAACCTGAAAGTTTTACCTAAGCCAAATTAGTGACCTTGATCTGTAAGGTACATTGGCACAACATAAACCAGAAATGCAAACTGGATTTGATGCCAGGAGCTGAGCTGGGACATGCTGCATATGAAGCTCTAAAGAGCCAAAGTTCTGACAAGCAAGGGTATCTCCCACCTCCTACATAAAATCTCAGATAAATAAATTATTTCTTCTAGCTGGATGCTTTTCTAAATTAGACCCATGCATGATGCTTTACACTTCTAATGTGGTAACTGAAATGAGAAGAGCCTACAGAGGGCTTGAGACTACCAGAGGCTCCGCTGGGGATGGTGCCATGGTGGGATGTTGTGTTTTGGAGATGTTTGTGTGAGTGGCTCAGGCCCCTGAGCTCTTTTTAAGCAGGGTTCCATGGGAAGCACAAGAAAGCTTCCCAGTCATGGGCGGTGTCACCACTGAGAGCTGGTTTCCAAAGTACCCGATGGGTTTCTGTTGGATACATTTTGTCTTTGCTCTGGCATCTTTAATCAGAGCTGTCTTTAGGGACACCCTTATTTGCTTGAGGGCCCCTTGGGAGCACATGAAAAGATGTATGCTGCTGCATTTGTCTTCCACAGAAAATTATTTATACCACTCCAGATCTGAAATGCCTTCTGAAGTTGCTTTTTTCTCTCTACAGAAGGAGCACTAGGACACAGATCTAACCACTTCTCTTAGAGGCTTGACATCTGGCCGCTGGCCTTCAAGATCACTAAGTAATGTGGACTCTTATTTTCTTGTGTGTATTTAAGGACCTCCTCCTCAAATGAGTATTGCTTTAGTGGTGTGAAATGCCATGCAGGTGTCTAGTTTGGCTGGGCATTGACACAATGTCTGCAAACTTCCCAAGAAATTATGAACTTCTGAAAATCCCAGAATGAAATCATCAGCAACCAAATCATTATGAGCAAACTGCTCTGGTCCATAACTACCACCCTCCCCTCCCATTGTATCAAGCTACTCTACCTTTGAACACAAACTCCGTGCCACCCATGACTTTGGACGAGTGGACTCCGCGGCTGTAGCGTCCCTTGGCATAGATGGTGAAGGTGGGGTGCTTGCAGATGGGGTCAGAGTAGTGGTAGTAGTGGCCCTCCCAGGTGTTGTTGTTGTCGTGGAAGATGAAGTGCCGAGTGAGGAAGAGCACCTCCGGCCGCACCTCGCAGCGCTGGCTCACCCACTCTCCGTGCAGCCCGATGGTCAGGTCCGCCTTGGGGGGCAGGATGGGCGGGTGGTGCTCGTCCGAGCGGTAGATGATCCTGCAGGCGATGCACTTGTGGTCGTGGTTCTGAAACAAAGCAGAGAGGAACCCTCAGCAGGCATCACCTGGGATACAGGGCAATGCATCAGGCCAGCCACTTCATGCTGACGTGACACCAGCTCCACATTTTAAGGAATGCATTGATCTTGCTAGTGGTACTATTTGGTTTTGTATTTGTAAGACTGCACAGCAGAGGGACATGTAAAAAATGAATTCTCTTGTCTGCATTTATCTGAAATTAACATTTTAGTTCAGGATCTAGAAAAGGCTGACTTTATCCTTCAAATCATACAAGAAGCTGGCAGATGGTAATTTACTATGATAGGGATTTTGCAATGCTTGTGTCAGAAATCAATACATTTGCTTAACTCTTATTTAACTGTCTTTAAGTTGTTAACTTTAAGTACTGTAGATAAACATGAGTGTTATAAGGACTTCTTTCTTTTTGGATGGCACCTTGGGAGAGTACTAACCAGTGCTTTTTAAACTCTTTCAGCTTTGCTGAGCCCTAACACAAGTTTGGGAAGTGTGTGATGTGGCTGGTTGCTGCTGGACATGGTGAAATCTTTATGGCCCTCTCCAGCTGGAACAGGGTCCATTGGTACGTGCTAAGCTCCAGGGTGGCTCGCCACTGTGGGCCATGCAGCAGCCTCAAGCAGCCAAGTACCCCTGGCCCCAAATGTGAGTACCTGGGGTGTCCCAGGAGGGGCCTGCAGGCTCCAAGTCTGTGGCAGGACTGGAGAAATTTCAGGCTGAGGCTTCCACCTTCTGAGCAACACCATTTATAGTTACTTTGCATAGACCATTATTCTAGAACAGCAGCCATTTCATTGACTTCACCATTGCTGAAAAGACTTTGGATGACTATCTGGTCTGGGATGGGGCAAATATAAACCCTGTTTAATATGTGTAAAAGACATATATTGTGGGTGTTGTAAGTTGATTCTCTGAAGCTACCTACAGTCATTTTATTGGAGGAACTCAGGGCACTAATGAATATTGTGTGAATGTCACCTTTAAAGTGAGCCAGAGTTGAAGGCAGTGAATGGAGAGATGCTGACTTCATAGCAGCTTATGTGAACTTTAAAGTAAGAGCAGTGAATATGAGCATTTATGTTACAGAGGGTGCTCAGAGAGGCCTCAGAAAAGAGGACTGGAAAGGTGAACATAAAAGAAATATTTCTGTAAATCTTCCAGATGGCTGCATGTTGAGCTTTAGCTCTTAACACACCTCAGGAAAACACCTCACAGCTTGAATGTGGTGGATGTGAGTAACCTGCCAGTGCACCTCCCTCTCTCCAAGAAGGATCGAGGAGAGTCCTTGAGAGATGAAAGTACAGGACCTGTGTTGGTTGATCTGAACCACTGCTGGCCAACAGCCCTGCTCTGAGGAGGAAGGAGGTTGGATTTGGTGACCTCCTGAGGGTCTTTCCACCCCTAAACACATGGTCTTCTGGAGACCACATGTGCTGACATGCTCTTAAAGTGGATATAGTCCTTTCCCACTGTGGAGCTTGTTACCAAATTTTAAGATATGTTTTTTTCACCTAAATTCTGCAAGCAGGTTGAGGTCTGTCAGTACCTTAGTGAAATACAAAGAACATTTAATTGAGCAATTTAACTGCAACTGGTGAAGTTAGTGCAGATATATCCACAAAAAGTATCTTTCAATTGTAATAGGAATAATATTTTTTTTTTTCTGGAGATGAAGATGCCAGTGCCTTTTAACCACACATTTCCGTCCTGCCATGGGGCAGACTGGCTGCACTGTTCCCTGACACATTAAGGGCCCTGATGACAGTAACTTTATGGCTGTGATCGTCCCACTCACATAAAGTGAAGCCAGAAAGCAGGAAAAAGACAGTGCTATAAAACTAAAAATAACTTATATAAGTTGAATCTATCAATAGTAGGAGAGAATTTCTGCTACAGTCCTTTCTCTTCTGAAGTGAACTTGAAAGCTTCTATTATCTCCCAGAGGAGACCCTGGCAGAGCAGGATATTGGTTTGGTTTACATTCACATTTTCCTCCCAGGAGTTGATCCTCCAAAACCAGTTTGTGAGTCAAGGCAATTTAACCTGGGAACCAGTGATTCCTGTTGCCCTTGTTCAAAATCTGAAGAAAACCAAACAACAACTCAGCCTGTTTTCTTTTTTGGTCCCCACTGGCCACCATTACACTGTGAGCAGAGGTGACTCCTTTGGCAAACCCTAGGGAGGTCCCTGTTAACTCTCTGCTACTTGTCTGTAGTTCACCCAGCTCTTTGACCACTGTGGTCCTGAACTACTGTAGCTCTGTGCAGCTCTTCTAATTGTGAAGGCTTTACCCCAGCTGTGAGGGTCTGGCCAGCTAGGCTGCTAAGGAATGTCCCACCTGATGGCCTTGTAGTCACTGACTGTGCCCAAATGAAGGGGCTGAGGTAACCAGAAACTTTTTGCATCGGACCGTGATTGCAGTAGGGAGAGGTCGGGGTGGCGAGGGAGGAAGCAGCTGTGAGACACCAGCTGGCTCCAGCCCCTTGCTGGATGTACTCTGAATCCATTGCTTTCTTGAGACCAGCATTTGAATCTAAGCCCACATAAGCCTTTTTTGCTGTCATACTATCACAATGTTATAAACTTCTTAGTGGAAGAATATGCCATGTATAAACTCCCTCAGTATAATTTTTTGCCCAAGTAATGGGCAAGGGAAAAAGCTAGTTCTGTTATGAGGCAATTTGGCTTAATTATGGAGTAATTTATGTTTAACAATTGACTGTATATTTTGCTCTTGCTTTTTTGGGTCAGCTGCTCTTGGCTCTTAATTACACTATCTGAGGCTTTGCAAATCACTCCCTTTCCATGTGTTTCAGGGAAAGATTATTTTCTAAAAACAGGCATTCAAAGAAAACAGGGAACAGAGACAAAGGACGTTTGAGTCCAAACAGGATTAAGAACTCTCTAGTAAAAAGCTCATTGGGGCATGACATAAACTAAAAAGCAATAAAACGAGCAGGGGACAGGATGAACATCGGTTCTACGTTTTGATTATCTTAGGTGCACAGTGCAGTATTTTTAATACTGGGGCCTTGCTAGAAGGACTGGGCCCTAAAATAGCTGGGAGATTCCTTCCCATGATGGGTGACACCTTGCAGCTCTGCAGCGCCAAAGCCATAGTGACAACATTCCTCATCCTTCCAGGTGTTTCTTTAAAGCCAATTTCTGAACTAATCCACAAAGCCATGTGTGCCAAAACAAGTCTGAATCTCTGGCTGAAAACTCAGTTCTTGTAGCTGGGGAGAAAATAGCTTAGGATCTAAAAATTCCCACCAACATTTTTTCTTATCGCTCTCCTGCTGTCTCAGCTGAAGTGGTAGTAAGGACAGAGAGCTCTGGAAGCCAAGCAAGGGGGATTCCAATTAAAAAAAGCAAACAAAGATGAGGTTCCTTCATCTTTTTCCCAATTGCTATGGATAGTCAGAAACATAAACACTCCCAGCACAATTTAATTTTCTCTTAAGTTCAGTGGAATTCTATGGCTGCCTAAGACTAATTATCTGACATTGGCTATGCCACACAGTGTGTGACTGGGTCTGTCATGTTGTACCCAGCATATCCTTTTTGCAGGGAGACATGAGATGAGAGATGAGGCACTGGATTTCCTCAGGCACGGGCTCAGGCTTGAACTGTGTGTACAGTACAGAACTAACCAGAATCCTGGGATGTTGTAGGGGCCAACAGCCACAAAAGCTGGGGTAAGAAACCCCTGCCACGTGAATGCACGTATTACCATGAGGGGAAGTGCTGAAAAACAGGGGAAAGAAAAGCCACACTCAGCTATGGCCTTGCACGCCTCCTGAATACCACGTGTCACAGGCAGGACTTGGTGGGTCTGGAATGAATCATGCCTGGTCAGGATGCTTTAAACCTCACCACCCAAGGAAACACAGTACCAGGTGTTAGTGTTAGTAACTAGTGCTCCCAGGATGAGTATAAATGGAAATTCTTGGGAGAACATCAATTCAAGGAAATGCTTCCAGCTCAACAAAAAAAGCTGGATGGCTTTGCTTCACACTGCCAAGGAGCCAAGTCCACAGGAAGGACACATTTATGAATTGCTCAGGATAGTATCAGGCTCTCTCCTCCACCACTGTAGATAACTGCAGACCAAGACAACACTTTAAAAAACGACCGCAAATTCTCTCCAGTACAAAAGTGATAATTTGCAGGCTTTGCATGACCTCATATGAAGCTGAGTTGACTAATGTGCATTAGCCTGGCTCTGGGGAGTTGACAAGCACGGCTGACACAGTTATAACTCAGCCTGCCAAATGGAATGAAGAAAAACGAAGATTTAAAACTTTAATTAAAAATCTTGAGGCAAGTAAAATGCTGGAGAGAGCGGTAACTCCTTTGCAGAGTTGTCAGATAGATATTTCTTTTGGTAGGGAACAGAGGTGCTGCAAGCAGGAAGGAGGGTAGAGATATGCTCAGATTTATCTGCAAATGCGTACCATGTATTCTAAGATATTGAGGAATGGTTTTTATTAACTGCTCTTATGAAGGGAAAGATAGTGAAGGAATCTCAAGGCACTACCATTACACAAGTGGCTGATCTATGATGTTGATTCTGTTGCACAACCCTGCATAAAACTGAAATAAACAACACCAATATGAAATGCAAAAGACTTCTGGTTGTTCTTTTCTGGTATAAATGACTTTAGTGTGGGCAAAAGACAAGAACAAAGAAAAAAACAGACTTCTCAGATGAATGTGCTTGCATGTCATCTGTCCCATTAAAGTGATACTAAATTATGGTGATATGAATGTTTTATGAAGTATTAACAAAAAAAATTCCTGGAAAACCCGAAGGGACAGCTTGAATGTCCATTTTCAAGAATAAAGTATTCCCAAATAAAGCTGCCTTATGTGTTTATTATGCCCTTAAAAAGCATCCTATCTAGCCCTCTAAACCAGGCAAATATTACCACTGAGTCTTCCCTGCCCTTTTACAAAAGATGCAGCCACTGTGCTTAGATGACAAAGGAATGTGTCTGTAGTTTACATACATATGCTGAGTTGACCTGGAGGCCTGGGCTAGGCTAAATAGTAAATTTTGATCCCTGGTGCTGCATTTGATTGTGACAGGCTTTTACTGCAGCTGCAGAGCAGACAGTGCTCAGCGCAGATGTGGCACCTTCAAAGGCGCAGAGCCACAGCCGACAGCGGTGACGAGTATGGCAAGGGCCACCCTCAGCTAAAAGCTGCTTGCTTCCTCATCTCTCGGCACCACACATGCTGTTGTTGTTCATAAACCTGGAATTAATCCACTTGAGCATTCTTCTGAATATTCCTACCTTGCTTCCCCTCATAATTTTCCTAACCAAGAGCCCTTTTCAAGTAAAAATGGACAAAAGGCACCCTTCAAGTGTTGCCTTAATCTAGAAGTCTAGTGGCACTACTCAGACAAACAAAGGAGTTTTGTCTGCCAAAATTGTACTTTTTGGTTGAGTTTTGCGTATTTCTCTGAGGCACTTCACATGCTTAACATCTATTTATTAACTTATGATTGCATTTCCCTGGGAGCTTCACAAGTACATAGCATTCCCCTAGAGATGAAGTCATTGTGTTTCAAAGAGATGAAGAATCCAATTTTTGAAAAGCATAGAAAACCTTGCACACTTTGCTTTTTCCTGGCTAAAGGAAAGCCCAAGTACCAGTCTTTCTCCATACATTGAATTTGTATCAGCTGCAAATTCCAGGTGCTGCTGGAAGTCAGGTCCCAGAGGTAAATAAAGTTGTAATAGGAATTGATTCATTAGTCACATTTTAAAGGGAAAACATCTTACAAAAAGAGTGTGCCCAGCAACTGATTGAGCATGACAAAGAGTGAAGGTTATCCTAGAGTGCTTTTTAGGTTTCTTGTGATGTTCCAGGCCATGTCAGCCTTATTCCTAAGTAATGATCTAATCAGAATGACCGGTCATCACAGCCCTGCTCTGATATTTCCAGTTACTCTGTCACATGATAAAATAGCACAAGGAGTTCTTTGTTTACAAAGCAATATTGCTGAGGCAATTACATGTGAAATAAGTCTCCCAGTACTGCTATTATACACATTTTCTGTAGTTTAGAGCAGACATTTCTGAAGATATTTTCTGTCCTGTACAGAGAATGAATACTGCATTCAAGCCTTCCTTCATGCTACAAGTCCCTGTATACTTTTGTGATATTACAACTAACCAGGCAGGTTGATGTTGGTCCTTGATGTTGTCCCAGTTGTGTCACAGACATCTTTTATGAAAAATCTTTTCCTTAGGATTTTTCCTCCTGAGAAGCTGAGAAGCCTCAGGAACAAAATGTAAACAATGGTTATCTGCTGCTGTGGAATGCAACAGGTGGATCTGTGATTGGCCCATGTTAGTTGTTTCTAATTAATGGCCAATCACAGTGAGCTGGCTCAGACAGAGAGTCCGAGACACAAGCCTTTGTTATCATTCTTTCTTTTTCTATTCTTAGCTAGCCTTCTGATGAAATCCTTTCTTCTATTCTTTCAGTATAGTTTTAATATATCATAAAATAATAAATCAAGCCTTCTGAAACATAGAGTCAAATCCTCGTCTCTTCCCTCATCCCAAGACCCCTGTGAACACAGTCACACAATTGGGAACATTTTGTGTAACACATGTGATGATGGCCAAGCAGTTCCTCCATCCTGCCCTTCCCAGCCATGTGCTCTCTCACACTGGCTCCATGAAGCTCCATGTGTGCTAGCCTGAATCACTCGATAAACTTGCAATGTCAAGAGACATCAAAGATCTTCATCTCCATTCATCAGCCAGTCCTAACTAGTATCCTGAGCCGGGTCAGAAAACAGCCAAGATAAATCTGTATAGTGACCTATTCATCATCTGCACTCAAGATCTTCCACATATTTTATAGGAGGAATTTGTTTAAGGTATGTTCTTATCTAAGAGAATTCGTAAAGCCTTAAGAGATGACATATTATATGTTTTTATAAGCTCCCTGATTCTACAGGAACACTTGAGATACAGTAATCTGTGAATTTATTCAGATTTGCAGCTCAGCATAAAGCTGTCTGGCTTTTGGACAGCCCTTTTGATTTACCATCCCGTGGTGAAATCGCTGCAGGAATTTGGAAAAGGTCCAATTCTATTTGTTTAAAGTCCTGATCATGTGGCTTTGGCATTCCTAACATATCCAGCAATCATTTGTTTTTAATTACCGTTCATTTCAACCACATAAGTAATGAATGTGGCTACCACATCCAACTTACAGGCTGTGTAAACTCTTGGGCTGGGTGGAACTTTCTTCTATATAGAGGCTTAACTATAAATTTAACTCAAAATGTGAATCCTCTTAACTTATTTTAGGCAGGCCTTTATGAGTCTAAAATATAAATAAATAAAAAGGAAATGAAAAAAGCCTTAAATGAAAGATTCCACACAATACACCTATTTCACTTCAGAAGCAATTTCCTGGCCTCCCCAACATCTTGGTATGACTGTAGAAACCTTAAAAAAACAAGTTGATTTAATGTTTCTATTTATTCATGGTGTCCAGTTTCCAGAGGAGTCTGTGACTTGTAGTTTTAAACTCAATTTAGCATTTAAACTCATTTTCAGCTGGGTCCCAGTGGAGCAACAATTAAAAAAGGAAACGAGTTCAAAAAGGAAGGGTTATAACCTTTCAATGGTATGTTTGCCTGGACTTCCAGAAAAAAAAGGGGAAAAAGCACTTCTGTTACTATTCTTCCTGCGTTTGGCAAACAGTAGGTCAGAGTGCCTGTTGAGAACCTGTTGGTATAGGGATCTTCATGCTTAGGTGCAAACCAACAAACCCACATCCTGGAATCTTTCATGGCAGCTGAAGCAAAGGTTCATTTTTTATGGTATTGCTATTTATATCCTGCTGAAAGCTTAGTACCAGCAGGCCCGGCTCCTCTTAGCTAACCTGTCTCAAGAAACACACCTTTCTTATGCAGAATTTGGTCCCTTAAATTTGAACATTGTATTTTTGAGACACTATATTTTAGAGTGAAAAAGGGATGCTACGGTAGCAGAACACACAGGCAGGAAAATCATTACCTACAATTACAGCAGGCCTGGACAACAATCTTAATTTTCTAAAGCTGTCTGAAAGTACATCTGACTGCTCTGACTGTAATGAAATTACTACAAGGTGGAAGTGGAGGCATTTGCTGTCTAATATATCAACCCAGAATAAGACACTTAAATTAGACCAGAAAAACTACTCAACTACAGTGATTAAATAAAGATTTTGTCTCTGTTTCAAGAGGTTGGAAAAAGATCTACAATGTTTTCTAGAACAGATACAATATAGCTGGTGTCTGGTAATTTCTATCTACAGGTACCTGCAAGGAAGAGATCTAGCAAAGAACCCTCCCACCCAAATCAGTAAAGTGAAAGTTGATGTGGATAATTAAAGAAAACCAAAATTTTGCAGAAGATTGTGCTGTGGTACATCTTCTCGTGCTGAAACTCTCTATTTTGGGAAGGAAAGTTTAAAAAGAAAACTCAAATTTGTCCTTGGTAACTTGAAGACAGCATAATGACAACAGAAATTACCACAGTTTTCATAAAGGTTTTCATAAAGCGAAACAGTTGACTGTGGATTAAAATGATCCCTAAGCCAGCTACAAAGCAATTAAAGGCAGATCACACAATGCTGTGTTTCCTGCTATTGCTGATAAGCTGTAACTGATTTTTGAACCATTTGTGGTGAGATGATTAAAAATGGTGGCAACCCATTAGCTGGAAGTGATGCTGTGGCAATGCCCAGCTGGAGCACACCGGTGGCAGTAGCACCTGGCAATGTGGTTCCAATTGCTGCCTGCCTTTGAAATGTCACCAGGAAAGATCTATAACAGCCTTCCTGCTACAGGCCATCAGTGTCTGTGCTTCCTGTTTGAGTTTTATTTAGCGCACCATGGGTTGATAAATTCCTGATGAAGCTGAGGGCACTTTGGGGCCCCTTTGAAAACTGAATTATCAAATGGAATTAGAGCCCCATTCAAAATTCACCTGTTTTTCATTTCATTAATGTGTGCGCCTATGTCTGGATCCATGGCCTGTGCAGTCTTTCAGGTTTTTTTCCCTTCATGCTGCCCCTTCCATGTGTTTACCTTCCAATTTCCTTGTCTCCTCTTCAGGTTATGGATCACCCAACTTCCATATGCTGATATTCATATTTGATTTCCTCTCTCCCTGGTCCCCCCCACAGCCATAGAAGTATCCACTGATGCTTGTTCCTCTTCTGCTGTCTCAGTTCTATATGAAACCTTCCTCTCAGCTGCTAGCCTACAACCATGGCCCCAGCCAACCACTCCCACTTCTGGCTACTAGTCTCTGATTCCATCTTCAGAGTGGCCTTTACTGAGTTTACTTCATGAGATCACTTTTTTTGCATATTTGCAGTCACATAAACCACCGCAAAGTTACTGTTCTCACAAAGTAAGTTCTGTTATCTTCTGTTAATTATGGCTGTAATCAACCCCCTGTATTAGAAGCACATGTAGATTTTAGGTTACATCAGAAGAACTGAGCGATTTGGGCTTCATCAGCAATGTCTTAAAAAGAGGATATATGCAAACCCCCAGACACGTACCTTGGCATTTTGAAGAGGAGGCTGGTAACTAGAGGGCCGATAGAACCTCCTCTGAGTAGCATCAGTGTGAATGTCTCCGAGGAATAGCTCCTCCACAAGGTGGTCTACATTGAGGTGCAGGTACTGCTTCTCCACACGGATCAGCTGGAGCTCGTGCATGGCAAAATTCAGAGCTTTGGTGCATTCACAGCCGTTCTCTTCTCTCAGCAAATCATAGCTCACATCCTGCTCCCAGGGACTATCTCCTGGGATAAATCCAGGACACGTCTGGTTCACCAACTCACTTAATTTTTTGGCTACTGCTTCGTTGTGGCATATGATCTGCACGCTGCGGAGCTGATAGTCGGCCTCGGTGCCGCCGCGGATGATCCAGGACGCCTGCCGGAGGCGAATTTTGCCTCGTATGACTAAGGTGTAGATGGGGTTGGTGCAGCGATTGCCTCCGTAGTAGAACTGATAGGCCTTGAAGGTGTTGTTGTGGTAGAACCTGTAAGACCTTGTGATGAACTCTGGGCCCGCTCTAACTTCGCAGCTGTGGGAGGAAAGAAAGCGTGGAAACAAAAATTTTAGCAAGGTGGCACATCATGGGCAACATGACCCACCTGGGCCCACAGAGACACCTGGGTGCTTAGATCCCTCCAGCAGGAATAGGAGTAAATAGGAACTAGGCATCTGTGGCCTGCCAATTATCCAACAATTGCCCCTACTGCTATTAATACACTGCTTCATGGTGATCATATCTAAAGGCTTTATCTTGTAGGCTTAAATACTTTGAATTGTGTTTTGCTTTTGCCTTTTGTCTAGGGACCACCATGTGACTCAATTCTTTGTTGAAAATAGTAGCAGCTTATTAACATCTTTTGCTCTCATTTGCACGGTAGATTTAGCAGAATGACAGATAACATCAGAAAGTGAAATGTCATATGTCCAGGGAACAGCAAAAAGAACTGGCTTATAAGCTGCTCTGGAAGTTTCTCTGTGTAACTCCACTATCTCTGGTCTGCTATGGATATGCAGGATCATATCCTGAGTTTTCTACTCAAAAATTCAACAGGGGTGGAAGTTAGTGCAAACTTCTGATTGTTAATGCAAAACTTCCCCCCCACCCCTTATTTTTTCTGGAAGTGTAAATGGCAGTTAAATTCCACTTCCTCTAGGAAGCCCTTCTGTGCCTTCAAACTTGTTCCCCTTGTCACCTCTACACTGCTTAATATAAACAGAACTGTAGAATTGTTAAGGTTGGAAAAGACCTTTGAGTCCAGCCATTGAGTCCAGCCATTAACCCAGCACCACAATGTTCACCACCAAGCCACACCCCAAGGGCCACATCCACACATCTTTTGAACACTTTTAAACACTTCCAGAAATGTTAACTTCCAGAGATGTTAACTCCACCACTTCCCTGGGCAATGCCTGACCACTCTTACAGTGAAGAAATTTTTCTTAATATCTAATCTAAACCTCCCCTGGTGTAACTTGGGACCATTTCCTCTCATCCTGAAATACACTCCTTTCTGTTAAAAAAACCCCCCAGTCTTTCCTACTACAAGTCACTTCCAATGAGCTTGTGAATATTGCCTGCTGAGACACAGAAAGCAAAACAGCTCTCTGAAACACAAGTCACCAGGTATAAAGAGCAACTGAACTAGTGAAATACAGCTTCTTAATTTCTTTTGCTAATAAAACTTGTGCTAGACCCATGTTCTGAAAACAAGGACCCATTCAATGGATCTAATGCATGGAGACAAATATAGTACAATGTTATGTTTGAATGAGCATCCATTTTGGCAGCTTGGTAGGCTCCTTCCTATTCAGAGAGATTTAAAGATCTTTCACAGCATGCTGTTTAAAATCCAGACAATAAATTGATTCATCAAGACAGCTTTATGGCATGCTATTTTAATGTTCATAATGCTGCTCCTTCTCCTTTTATGCATAAACATATAGAGAGCATCTGGAATTTAGAGCATCACCATATTAAAGAAAATATTTCTGTTGAAAGTGGGAATATTCATCCCTCCCTCTCTGCTTTTTTACCATCTTCTCTTCCCCATCCCAAGCATCTTGTTTTATCTTTCCTTACCCAGTAGAGACCCAGTGGCCCTCAATATTGGGAGGCATCTGTACGGTGATGCGGGCTCCATTGTGAAGGTGTTTCAGCATATGATGGCACTGTGACTCCTTGAAAGCCCTCCAGGCACTCTTCTCCAAGGACCGAGGGTAGGTCCTGCTGTCTGGGTGCAGAAGAGCAGAACCTTCTCCCAGCCCTGTGACAGAAAGTGTAAATTACATCATGAGACCCTGCTGAGTGGGGCTTCAATGTGATAAAGGACATTGTGACCATCTTGAGTTGAATGACACTTATTCATATTGTTATGTGTCTGGGCAAATACTGTTTACATTTATTTTCTCATATGAAAACAAACAAAAAAAATAATGGGAAGCTCTTCCTTTCTGTCACACTGCTCATAATCCATTAAATAAATTTATGAAATAAACTGAGGAAAAGAGCTTGAACTGAAGTGCTGTGTTTCCACACCCAGGAGATGTGGCTCTGAAACTGATCTTTATAGACACCTCTGTAATCTCTGGTCAGGACAATCAAAAACCTAGACTTTCAAACTTTCAGAAAGTTGCATCCAGATCCGGACACAAACTTTGCGGTTTCAGCCCTCCTCTAATTTGAACGCTTCTATAATAAACTTGCAAATAAAGACTACTCTTTAAAGTCAAGGGAAAACAGATATTAAAAGCAAAGCCTCTGCACACAGGAAGCCTCTGTGATGACTGAGGTGGTCAATTAAAGGCAGATCCTTCTATTTTTATTTTAAAGGGGAAAAGGAATTTCAAAAGCTAACTTTATCTCCAGCACACAGTAATTTTGGTTTCTAGTAATGTATATATACAACATCTACCAGCATGCTCTCTACACAATATTAATTGAACAAAATGAATACATAGCTTCAAAAGGAATGTGCCTTTACTCTTTTAGACACAGCCTGCTCTTAGATATTTTGGAAAACATGGATCAAAAGAAAACCCCACATCTAGGGGTTAAAAGGTGACAAACATAAACCTTACATAACGTGTTGGAACTGTATTACATTGCCAGAAGGAATTTGAGCACCAGAGGGCTACAAAATGGATAAGGGGTGGGTTGAAGGGGCTGTTTGAGTGCCTGGGAATTTGGGGCAGCTATCTCAGGAAAGGGATGTCTCACTGTAAGACGCTTCCAGGGCCAGGGTCTGGGATTCATCCCCATATTTTCTGCTGCCTTCTTCTGACCTGGATAAGAAATGGGGCTGTTGGGGATCACCAGTGGGAACCACCCAATACAGGATCCTATGCTTTATGCCCCAGGCCCCATCTGATATTTGGGCACGTGTCTGGTGTTAGGTAGACACTTTCCTAAGTCTTTCCCATTTCCTATTAAAAAGAAAAAAAAAAAAAAAGAAAAAAGAAAAAAGAAAGGAAAAAAAAGAAAAAAAAAAGGTAATTCATTGTGTTATTGTGTTGGCTAGGTCTTAGATCTTCTGGAAGAAACTTGGGTAGCACCTGGGAAAATGGCATTGCCAAAATTATAAATACATGTCAACCATTTAAAATCAGCCATTCCTCAACTAAACAGAAGCAAAGACTTGTCCAGGAGACAGGGTAAAAAATGATCAGAAAGAATACAATAAATACCTTAACTTAAACAGTGCTCACCATTGAACAAGGCCAGGATTTAATGAAATTAATGAATACAACCTCACAAAATCTTTTCTGGAAAATCTGATAGCTTTGTTATGTTGCAGGTTACAAACAATTCTTAAATGTGAATGAGAATTTATGTCCTTGCTTTCTATAAGGTAATAAATACTAGGGATGCTTTGATATTTGAGCACACTGCATGAGATGCCCTTACAGAAACCTGATTTTCAGGGGATCAGTATTTCTCCCTTTCTGGAAGTCAGAGATTACCAGGTATTTCTACATTGCTGAGCAGAGTCACTCATGCTAGCACCAAACAACTCCCCCACTCTGCAGCCAGAAATGGTAGAGCCATGACAGGGTGATGCTCTGCTTGAAGTGACTACATCTTTGGACAGGCAGGATTGACTAGGTTGGGTCTGTGCTTCATGTCCATGCAAGGTACACGGCAGAGGTTGTAGCCACCAGTGCTATCTTGCAACATGGTGTCTCCTGCAGACGAATTAACTCACACTGAAAAAAGACTTTGAAAATTCACATTTCCTTTTGAAGTTGTTAAACATTTGAAATTTGCCATCAGAAGAAGGTTTTGAAATTTTTCAGCTAGCTATTTTCAATGCATATTTATTGTACCACTTGCTTTTATGCAGCTGTATTTTGCCTAGTTCATGTCATATGATTCATGAATACAGATGCATTTAGAAATGATTTATTCATTTAGACATACTTGGGGATTTAATTTCTTCAAGCAAAAATCCTTCTTTGGGAGGACACCATCTTGCATGTGCACATATCAAAGAAAAAAACGCAATAACCACATCAGACATTTCCAATTATTCCCTGAAGGAAATGATGAAAAGAAGTTTTTGAAAAGGAGTCAAACTTTATGCGGTATTATACAGTGTCTTCTTTGATATAGCTCAGAAGCAATTGTATCTCAGCTCTCCATGTCACATGAGTGTAGTTCTGTCTGCAACTTGCAAGTGATAAACTGCAGCTAGGGAATGGAAGGGAGATTTGCATCGACAGGCCTAGAGGAAAGAGGGTATTTGTTTGGGACTCTATCCATCCAACTGTGACAAACGAAGGCAAGAACAAATTCAGGTAATCAAGAGAGGCATGAGAACATAACGAAGGCTGCAGAGACGCAGGGAGAGATGTAGAAAACACACACATAGAATGGTTTGGGCTGGAAGAGACATTAAAAATTAACCAGTTCCACTTCCCCCTGACTATGGGCAGGGACATCTTCTACAGGACCAGACTGGTCAAGGCCACATCCAGCCTGGCCTTGAACACTTCCAGGGATGAGGCATCCACAACTTTGCTAGGCAACTTGTTTCACTGCCTCATCACCCTCACAGTAAAGACTTTCTTCCTAAACAAAGAAAGGATTGGATTTAGATCTAATCTAAACCTGCCATCTTTCAGTTTAAAGCTGCTCCCCTTGTCCTATCACTACATGTCTCTGTAAAAAGTTCCTCTCCAGCTCTCTTGCAGGATCTCTTAAGGTTCTGGAAGGTGCTCTAAGGTTTCCCCAGAGCCTTCTCTTCTGCAGGCTGAACAACCCCAGCTCTATCAGCCTGTTGCCACAGGAGAGGTGCTCCGGCCCTCTGAGTATCTTTGTGGCCTCCTTTGGACTTGTTCCAGCATGCCCATGTACTTCTTATGCTGGGGACCCCAGAACTGGACACAGTACTTGAAGTGGGATCTCCCCAGAGCAGAGGGACAGAATCCCCTGCCTTGCCCTGCTGCCCACTCTGCTTTGGATGCAGCCTGGGATGTTTGGCTTTCTGGGCTCCGAGTGCACATATTGAGCTTCTCATCAACCAACACCTCAAGTCTTTGTCCTTGGGGCTGCTCTCAGTAATGCTAAACGCCATCACAGGACCAGAATATCAGAATATGAAATACAGAATAAAATTAAGAGACAGCAATGGGACTACCTAGGTTTGCCTTGCTGGAGCAAGTAACTACTCAATTTAGTGCAAACTTCTTCCTTACAAAGAGGTAATTTCAACACTTTTGTAGTTACTGACATATGCCTGTAGATACAACTGCCACACAAAGGAGATGTAATTTCCCCTTTGTACCATCTGCAGGTCAAACACTGAGACCAGTGATATGCTCCCCACACAGAGCAGTAAATCAAACACCATCTTCTGTGTTTTTCCTCACAGCAGGTGCTCAGAGGCAGTGCAGTGCCCCCCGCTCCACCCTTGGCAGTGCACACGAGGTGTTCTGCAAAACTGAGGAACTGCAGGGATGATTCACTTATTTTAAAAGATCCATTTGGCCATGTTAAATGAGACATTGCTGGAAAGGCTCAAGGTTAAAACATGCATTCACAAAACTGGGAAAAGAATTTCATGACTCTTTAGAAGCCCACTTTGGATAGTAGATGCAGTTGCAACATAGTTGGAGCCATTATTTCATTCAGAGAGATCCAAGTCTGCTATTCTCTATAGCACTGACAGATGGTAGGTTTCAGTATCTCCATGACTGAGTATCTCAGACTCAACTGAGAATATTTCAGACTCTCTCTGACTGTTTGAATTTTTGTGTGTTATGAAGGAATATTACCCACTTGTTAAAAAATATAAACCCAAAATCCACCCACTATGTTACTACTCAAAAGTGTGACAGAATTCAAACAAACAAACAAATAAACAAAAAAATCTTTGCGTGAGACCAATAACAATAATTTTGTGAGGCCTCTGGTTGGCTCTCACTTTAGCTACACCAAACCAGAGATTGGTATGATTGTATTCCCACCCCACAGCATTTGTTTTTACAAAGGAGCAAGTCCAAAAGGGAAAGGAAAATTCCAGAATCCGCCTGAAATACCAGGTGGCAAAACAAAAGCATGTTATGATGAGCTGATATCCAGCTTCCCTTTCAAAATCAAGCCCTAGCAGTGACACAGCTTTAGCATGAAACTAACTGAATATAGCAAGAGAGGTGCTACAGCTCACTGGGGATCCCTGCCCAGACCCTCAGAGATCACACAGTTCTTTGAGGGCCTGTGATCTCAGATCACACTTTACAGGATCCAACATCCATCTGAGTGGGAAAGTGGAGGCCTGTACCACTGCCACGCCAGTAAGACGTGGATAGGAGCATGTACCACACCAGACAGAGGGCTTCAGGCTCTCATGTTGACCTATAAACCTGTATCTGATGTGGGAACAACCATTCAAGATAAAAATAATTGTTAAGGGAAGATAGGTTACTTTCAAGTTCTTCAAAGATTTCTGCTCATAGCTGCAAGTAAAATACAGATCTTAAAAGGGCAATCTGTTGGCAGCCCATTACCCAAAAGTGATTCAAAAATGGTTATGACAAAGCTCTCTGCCAACATTTCTGAAAAAACTGCAAGCTGCTAGAATGAATGTTTTGGTTTTCTGAAAAATAGCATGCAAATACTGTACAACTGCAACAAAGATAATACGTAGAGTTGTGCTTGAACACAGATAGTTTAAATTTAATTTGTGCCTCAACACCCTGGCCAAATTCTGTTCGGAGCTATGCCAGACTGCTAAAGCACAAGGCAAATAATCTTAAACTGTTTAGATTTTATCACTTTAATGAACGTCTCTACCAGAATCTAAACCACGGCTTTGAGCATGTCCAAGTGTAAACCAGTCTGAAAGCTACCAGGTGTTCTGCAGGTTCATCCTTTGCTAGATCGCTGGAGACATGTTACCTCAAAGTAGGATTCAAACCTGGCTTTAGGCTGGGATTGCTCAGCAGGAACCACTTAGCTTTTTTTTTTCCTAATTTCTAGTGATGTAAATACAGAAGAAAAAAATTTTATTATGAAGTAAAACAACCTCAAGTGATAGCATAAGTTCAAAAGAAGCAATGGCTTAATCTCTGACAGAAATATTTTAACATTCATGCTTTACTCCTGCAGCAACCTTTTTTCAAGTTAGAACTTGTCTGAAACTGGAAAACCCTTACAACAGATAAAGAATAATTGGCTGGATTAACTTTATAGCTCTCCTTATCTGGGCAGTTGCCCTGCACAATTAAATAAATAGACATTTGGATCATGCTTTTTCTTGATGTGGGATAGTGTCAGATAATGCCTATGACAGGCTTTTACCTCCAGTGCAAGCTTACATAATTGCCATGGAGAATATAATGTCCTGTTACCAAGCCACGAGCTGTGTTTACCAGTGTTTTCCCTGCACTTGAAACTTCAAAGAGTCCTCGCAAGACTGGGGCCCAAATTAGCTACTACAAACAAAAGGGTTGGGAAAGGAAAGCCGGGTTTTATGGCCAGGGAAGCAGACAGGACAATGACTTCCTTTCACATGTATCTGTTGCCTCTCTTGTGCACACAGAGTTTCCAAGTGCAGCTTTTGAAGAGAGGAAAAATGAACGCTTCAGAACATGGAAGATCCTGAGGAGGGATCCAAAGTATGTCTACATGGGACAGCTAAAAAGAAACCCCCTCAAAGCTGACAGGCCCAGCATGGAGGTCCCCTGTTACCCTATAGCTTGGTCCTCATTCAATGCCCTCTCTTGGAAGAGGTCAGAGACCAGCAGTTACACAGCCCATAACCTCTGCTTAGCTGAAGTTCTTAATTGGGATGGGTGCTGCTATGTGTGCAAGGTGAAATGGCACTGCCCAGAGTGAGGGTTTCTTTATGAAACCATGAAGGGTTAAAGCCCATTTTCCTTCAGGGCAGTGGGAACTCTGCCCCTGACAGGAATGGGTGCAGCGCTGGGATGTGTATGCAGTTCAGTATCAATGGTAGTTTGGTCTTGCCCTCTTTGCAAGAACCATCTGCCCTCTGTCAGAGCATCTGCTCCGTCCTGTACCCACACCTTGGCACTGGGGTTTATTCATGCAGAACTGCCCCCAACTTCCCTGGCACTTGTGTCCAAGTGAAGACAGTGCTAAACAAACTCACTACAGATAGTCCTGCCCTCTATCAGCCCTAAATAGTCCCCTCACTAATGAAATCCTACCCTTGCCTTGGATAGCTGAAGGTATTTGCCTCCAGTGTGGTTGAGGCACTTTTGGGCCCCACTGTGTGCCAGCCTACTTTCTACAGACACCCTACTGAACACAAAAAAGTTGTCCTCTCTGTTGATGACATCAACATCTTACCACTGTGTTAGCCCACAGTCAAGCTACAAAAATGAGTGCAATGGAATTTACTCTGACAAACGTGTGAATAAAATTTAGTCCATCTTCTAACTCTTCCTGCAAATTCTCCAACTCTTACACTAAGCACTGTGTCTTCCCATCTTTTTATTGTCTTCCAGATTTTGAAATGCATTATTTAACTGAGGAAACAGATCACATATGTCTCCAGCACAGAGCACAATATATGTTCATTCTATGGCTATGGAATCTCCTGATGCATTTACTTATTATTTTTGTGAAAAAGTTTTGAAATAAAACACTACTATATAACTAATTTAAGCAACACTGCCAGAGAACTTTTAAAAGCATAAGAAGTTTTGCTCTAAAAAGCCTATCAGTCTTGTTTTCATCGTCTTTATTAGTACCATTTCCATGATGTTATTGACTAATTGTTTTAAAGTTTCTAACTCATTACTCTAAAAGTAGCATAATCAGAAATATACTAAAGCTTTTTTTTTAAGCATCTGTATTTATAAAAAGAAAAGGTTATGTTTACAAAATAAATTAGCCAAATTTGTTTTAAATCCACTTGAACGTAGCTCTTATTATTCAGGTTTTTTGGACTTGAATGATCTTAGTGTTTGACATCTGAAACTTCTGTGGCTTTTTGTCTAAGCAAAGAAAACAGTGATAATGGACAACTTCCAGCTGCAAACCTGTTTTTTTTGGTTTTTTTTTTTTTTTGACACTGTACATGTACAGGTTTTATTTTGATTAATGAAAACTAGTTTTTCTGAATTTCAACTCAGTGACGTTAAAGCAGGCATTTCTTAATGTAATGAAAGCAGAAGCTCTAGCCTTACAGGACATTTTAACTTCTGTCACAAAGCTTTAAGCCTTAAAAAGCCTCAACCACCCACCCACACTCACTCACTTTTAACCCTCAAATTGCCATATGCAATAGAAATCTAGAAAGGAAATGCTGCACGCTGCAAAGAGGCTTAGCAGTGCAATCCCCTGGGATTCCTGGTTATTCTTACACATTAGCAATTTGGGATAGCTGTGGATCAAAGGATGCTTCTACTGACTTTATGGCATGGATGGAAAAGCTCTAGACCAAGTTAAAGCCAACAGGGTAAAGACATTTCCATGGGCTATATTTCAGTGCCACTGATATAATTTTCAAGTTTGTAAGAGGGCAGTAGTTTCCAAACTCTGATCCAAACTGTGGACTGCTACATTACCAAGGTACTTGTCTTCATATACAAGGCAGTGAGTTGTATCTTTCTACAAGAACTTTGGTTTATGTTATTTGGTGAAATATAACTGCAGATGGAAGAAATGGATGACTTTTCTTCATCATCCTCTTTTGGCAGCTGCTGTTTTGATCTGATCACTGGCCCTGATTTGTTTCCTGCTCCAGCCAGCATTCAGCTCTGCTCTGTAATTCCAAGCAGATGAGCCAGGGAGTCCAACCCTGCAATTACACCTCCTCTCTTTACCCTCTAACTTCAAGTCTTCCATTTCAACTTTTACATCTCAGATCACAGAGTTTAAAGAACACCTCTGGCGTCCTGTCAGGTCTGGCTCAGCTAAATATGTTTCTACACTCTCTGGATCTCATAGCTGAGCTGTGAGAAGAGTATAAACCCCCTCCTGGGGATCAGAGCCTCCTACTCTTTCTTTCTCTAAACAAAATATACCATCAGAAGCCCATGCTCTTTATTATTTATTAAATACCATAGTGTGTGCTTAGCACTTGTACAAACACAGAGAGAGACAATCCCTGCTTCACAAAATCAACCCCAGGAATAGCTTTGAAATCCTTAACCCCAGCTCACAGATCTCCCACTGAATCCATGTAGGTCACCTGCATTTTAACAGTTAAAAAAATTCCTCTTTTTACGACTAAGCTTGGGGTCCTAAGAAATTTAACTGATGGAGGCTGGATGCTACAAAGGACTTCAGAATTAGGAACACTCTCCAAAATGATGCTGTAACCGAGTAGCTTGAGTCGCACTTTCAGAAGGATATCATACCCAGATTTTTCAAATCTGGCTGCCAAATGTTAGACATACCTAAGCAGCTCATTAAACTGCCTTCTTTTCAGAAGTTTCTCTTGAAGAACACTGGCTTTCTGAAAAGATCGGTTATCTGTTAAAAGGCCTAAAAATCAATTTACAAGATAAACTTTCAAGTTTAAATACTCTGAGTTTTCTCACTAAAATTTTGCATGCTGTGTAGTTTCAGAGAGATGTCAGTCCAGGGTTAAACTGAGAGGCTGTCAAAGCAGGACTGTGTGTAATAACACCGAGAATTTTTGTGCTCTGCAGCAAAACAATTTTAGCTGCTCAAAAGATCCGGTGCTGGCACACTTTGCTACCGAAGCCTTCCCAGGTAACTTCTCCACGCCAAAAAACGCTTCCCGATAAGAGGAAGAACGCGGGCCCCGCAGGGCGTCTCGGCCAAACGCGCCGGAGTTCGGCAGCGCCAGCTCTTGCCGGAGATGAGTAAAGAAACTTTGTGTGAGGTGCCCGGACCAACTCCTCCATCCAAGGAGTCCCAGGCTGCAACGCAATCCGCCGGGGCGCTTTCGGCGGTGCCGCTTCCCATCCTCCGCCCCGGGCAGGCGGGACCCGGCGCCCGCGGGCACCACGGGAGAGCGCACCCACCCGCGCCCCTCTGCGCCCCCAGAGCGGCTCTGGGCCCCCCGCACCCCAGCCGCTTTGGGGGCACCCGCGGGCCGAGCCCCGCCGGCAGCGCACTCACCGTGCAGCAGCAGGGCTGGGAACAGGTACCGCATCAGGCTGCCGTACGGGGCGGACATCTCCGCGGCTCGCAGCGCTCCTCGCCCGCTCCTGCGCTCCGGCCGCCGCCACTCCCGCCGCGCCGCCCGCGCCTCAGCGCCGCCGCGGGCAGCCCACGGCCCGGCGCTGGGGGGCAGGCGGCTGGCGGGCCGGGGGACACGGGCACCCTCCGGGACCGCCGCCGCCGCTGCCGCTCCTCAGGGCTGCCGCTCCTCAGGGCTCCCGCCCCGCACGCCGCCGACCCGGCAGGGCTCCGGCTCGGCCGCCGCCGCTCGGTGCCCGAGGATGCCCGCGCCGCAGCTGCCGCGTCCCCGCTCGTCTCCGCGCAGCGCGGCGACGGCTCCGCTTCATATTTCCCCTTCCAGCAGGAGGAGGAGGAGTGGTCGGGAGGTGGGGACTCCTCCCGGGGCGGGGAGGGGGCGGCTCCGCCGCTGGGCTGGCGGCAGCGCCGGACAGCGCTCCCACGGCGGGGGAAGGGGCGCTCGGGACCCGCCGGGCGGATCCGCAGGGGCGGAGCGGACGCGGCGCTGTGTGGGCACCGGGCACCTCGGGGCTTTGCCATCGGCTGGGATGTGCACGTGGCGGGCTGGGGATCCCGAGGGAGAGAGCGCAGCGGCTGCGGGCGCGGAGGTGTCGGCTGGGCTGCGGCTCCCGGGGCCGGCCGGAATCTCTCTTCCCTGGGGGTGCGAAGCGCGACTTCGCCTTCGCGACCGTAAGCTGGAGAGAAAGAAAGTTGGTGTGCGTCCTCTCTTCAAAAGGAAACCTCTGTGTAGTTACTGCTTTCCGTGTAAATCCGGCGTTTTTTATAAGCTAAAAATGCTTGTCAGGGATGCCTTTGGTGATGCACTCTCCTGCATGCATTCCCCCATGTCTCTTGTTGACTAGTTTTGCTTTTTTCTCTCGTCTTGGGCCCTGGTCATGCAAACATGCATGGACTTAATGTACCTGTGGGTGACTCGTGCCTGAGTTTAATCACGGGACTTGCATTTGTGATGTCCTCTGGATAGGGATGTCATATTTTCCAGTTTGTGTTTGGTCTCGTGGACTCCACAGTAAGGCCTCATGGCAAAGAATGTGCAACAAATTGGAGGAAATGTTGAGAAAATCAACATAACTACGTTTTGAACAGCTTAACTCAGCTAAAGTGTTTACACGCTGCATGCTTTAAAAGAAATACAAACAATGTTGATTCCTTCCAAGTCCCTTGAGAGGGAAGAATAAACTTAATCTTCCTCACTTATATAGGGAGGAAACTGAGACAGAAGCAAGTAAGTGGTGAGTCAGTCAGTGCTCCAGTGCCTTAGATTCCCAGGGTTACACTTGTGCCTTCACACAAATGTCTTTCCATCCTGAAGGGCTGGTTTCCAGAGCACTTGGTGGTGGTCTGTACAAGCCTGTAGTGATCAGATATCCTCTCAATGACCTGGATAGACATGGACAGAGAAAGGCAACATCCTCCAAGAAACAAGTGTCCATGAACACAATCAAGTAACACAGGGTAAGGCTGTAAAAATGCCATTACCCCACATTGGTTGCTCATCGTCTTCTCTTGTAGTTGCGACAGAGGTGTTTGTCAGGCGAGGTGTGAAGGGAGGTGATTCATGCTGTAGACACAGTTCATTGGGAAAAAGTGTTGTGTATCCAGGTCAAAATTCTGATTTTGCCACTTGTAACAATCGTACAATAGCAGAGACACCCAAGTAATTTTTCTTTATCTGCAAGGTCAGTAAATGAGTCAGATACAATGAGCAAGGAAAACAGCAATATCCACTCAAAATACAGTACAAACATCTGCATTTCTGAATCTTGAGGACCTGTGATGTACTTAGATCTGTGTCTGCTGGTTGCTTCCCCTAAGAGAATTCACTGTCAGGGTTATCAGTAATATAATGCTGGGTGTGCAAATGGGTGTTAGAAGGAGAAGGGAAAGGTGATGTGTGTGGGAAAGTGGATTGTTGGCTTAGCAGGTTATTACTAAGGGATCCAGCCTGGTGGAAGAAGCCAATCTGAAGAGTCTCATGTGTTTGGCATACACATGGGTAATATGACATGCAGGAAGTCTCCCAATGTAACTTCTGCTATTTACCTGAATATAAAAGGCAGGCCAGTGTCACTGTAAGCAGTAATGAAAGATTAGGGGTTTTGAAAGTAATTGCATAAAAGCAACATCCAAAAGGAGAGGCTTCTTATAGGAACAATCTGCTATACCATCCCCAGATCGAGCAACATTATAATTTGCAAAAAGATGAGGCTAAGAATAGCCTGCAAAAAATTATTTCTTACAAAAGGCAGTTATCCCAGAAGGTCATGGTTTCTCCCCTGAGAAGTGACAGCCCCCCATGGCAGCAAACAGCTTTTCATAAGAGGAAAGGGCAATGCCTTCACTGCTCCACTGGACAACTTTGTAAATTGGGCTCTGCTTGTGATTTACTATCAGTGCAGCTTCAGATGTGGCAATGAAACAAAATTAAATCAATACCCAGTGAGTTCAGATATGGGAGAACTTGCAAAAGACAGCACAAACTATACTTTGTTTTTTCTTGTCTTCTTTTTTCCCTTAATTTTTTGTCATTTTAAGGCTATGTATTTTATCAGCCCAATGCATGTTATTTTTCTTTAAATATACCCAGTCCTACTTGTTTCATTGCTGTGTCCCTCTTCAAAATGTGCTGTAATGGGAAGCAGTGACAAATAACAGCTCTCTGCACTTTGATCTAGGTAGCATGTCACATCAGTTCTCATTAAAAATGGCATTAACCAATCCAACCGTGACTTTCTGAACTGGAGTTCCTGGGGTGTATACCCAATTTAGTTATAATGTAATATCATTCACAAAGGCATTTCTCATGCATATTCTCAAAAATACCATAGAGGTCAAAGCATTTCAAAAAGGAAGTTGTCAGCAGAAGTTTGCACAGAAAGGAACTGTTTTGAAAGAAAAAAGCCAAACCCCAAACCTGATGGGAAATGTACTTTGTGGCTGAGGCCCTGCAAAAAATATTAAAATATGAGGAAAACTAACTTGTTGGACTTGTTGTGTGACACTTCAAAGATCTAGGCATATCAGCATAGCACTTGTCTAGGTAAAGTGCCGACTGGTTGGCTGGCAGCCAATGCCAAGCTGGTGGTGAAAGATACTTAAAAGAGGGAGAGGATGGGAAAGAATGGAGGCAGCGAGTGTGTGGGACACTTTATGCTATGGAGAAGAATAGGATGGGGCAGCACAGCTAGGATTTACTAATGGCTATATTATGTTTTTAAAAAGAAGGGACGTAAAGATTTGTTGAAAAGGAGTGGAGAGACTAATTCGCAAAGAATCAAGCGTTTATCAGATTTCTGTGAATTGCCCATGGCAAAACAATCAAAATAAATAGAGAGAAGTCTTTTTACACATCCAGCTTGAGTTAGAAGCCACAAGATGAGCCTGGAGACTGTTAGATAGAGAGGAATATTCACTGTGTGGCTTCTTATTTTAGCTTCAGCTGCTTGAGGAAGAAGTTAATCTGTTTAATGATTTAAAAGAAATGGTAATTGGTTTGTTTCTTCTTTCAATCTGAACTGAAAATGCCATACTATATGGGGTATAGCAGAAATGAGATTTATCCTCTATTGGTTTTGAATATTTAGAATAAGGTGTTTAAGCTGCTGATTATTTTTTTTTTTCTTATTCTTTGTTTAAAAAGTAATTGAAAGAACCTCTGGCAGTATTTCCTAAATGTTTGGCTCCCAAATTGTGCAGACTACTTGACCTTCCCCTACCAGAGATTTTTTTTTCTTCATTGCAGCTACTGAAGACAGTGGAATTTTATAGTTGTTTTAAGGGATGCTGAATCTGGGTTTAGTTTTGTCAAGCATGTACCTGTGGTAAGGCTGTCCTGGAAACTAAGGCTCTGAGGTGGAGCAGATTACCTCAGAGGTCTATCCTTTATTGTTTTTCCTTGTATAGGTAGATAACTAGTCTGATAATTGTGTTTTGGAAATGAATTTATTTTAGTCATCCAAGACACAATGCACATGTTAAAGTCCTGTTGCCTGGAAACAAACATAGGAAGTATAGACTAAGCATAGTAAAATGAAGTTATTGTGGCCATTGTCTATAGGCTGTTTTCTCTTTTTTTTTCAGATACACAAAGAGATGTGCATGCACATGAAGCCATCTACTAGAACAGACTTGATGGTTTCACAAAAATGAGGTTGGTTATCCGAATAAGGTTTCTTTTTAGTTTTTCTAGAATGGTTTAAGAAGTAGATGGAAATAAAGGTATGAAATGATGTAAAAGTAGACCCTGCAAAGCTTGGGCCATCCCAGGCAGAAAAAATCAAAGAAAGATGTAAAGAGCTCAAACTTACCCAATGGCTTTTCGGAAAATAAGCTCTGTCCTTCTTGTTTCCCTGCTCGCTTCTGGCATTTAAAATGTGATTTTGATTTGACGATTCAGAGGCAAAGAGGAACTTCTCTGTGTATAATTACTTTACTACAACCACAAATTTCATGGTGCTGTTGCTGTAAGCAGAGCTTGAGAGCTATGTCCACCTCCCAGTGAGCTTGGCTGGGGTCTTGCCATTGACCAGAGTGAGGGGTGGATCAGTCCTTGGGTGAAGCTGTTGGAAACACCAACTGGAACAGCCAGTGCTCATATTGGTGACATTAATCTGGAAGCACAGCAAACAAGGGCCAAAGGCATTTTCTTCACCCAGCACACAGGCAGCCATTCTAACCCTCTGCAGCACTGCCATCCATTCATGGCACTCAAATACCATGAAAATGGGTGTGGTAAAAATGTCTTCATAAATGTTGTTTGAACCTCCTGTTGTTTGCACAGTGGCTTAGTGATATTGTGACTTAAGGAAAAGAAAACCACCTCAAAGAGCTAAACCAGCAGATTGAAAATCTGTTGCAATCTGGGCAAAAAATGTCCTTCTTATATCTTGTTGCTCTGAAGAGCCATGCAATGGGTCAGAGAAATAATGATTCTGATCGCTGAAGACAAAGGAAAACTTCTGGAAAAATTTAAATGCA